TGTGATAGTTAATACATGGAGGAAAGAAATTAATTGGATTTTTTTCCTCTATGGTTAATAATTTTTAAAGCAATACCAATGTTTATGTACTGTTTAGTGTTGTGTTCAGGAACCTCTCTAAAAATATATTCCAGATATCATTCCCGATATGTTGTCTCAAATGTTTGCTGATATGTATTGTATTTTTTGTTTTTGTGATTTAATATTAATTTTATAATGGCTTTGTTAACAGGCAGCGATTGCTCAATATAAACATTTACCAGAGGAGGTTGAAAGCCTGAAAACTGTGCTGGAGCTGAGGAACAAAAGTGTACATGATTTACGAAGGCAAAAAATGGAATTAGAAAAAGAGGTAAGGGGGTGTAATGAGGGGAAGGGTGTTGTGACAGATTGTAAGGGGTTTATAGAATGAAGGGAGTGTTGTGATCATTGGAAGTATTTTAGTTTGATGGCTACAAATATTGATAACTTTCAAACTCAAATATTGAGATCAGAATGACCACCTACGTTTATGTCAAGGCAGTGTTGACTAATCATTATCACTTTTCGGATTTCTTATTTATTTTATTTTGTTTGCATTAATAGCTTGAAGTGATTCCTGAACATGAAGAAAAGATAAAACGATATGAACGACGTATTGAAGAATTAAAAGCAATTGTTGGAAGGAAAGCCGATTTAGAGAGGTACCTAAATTTTTCATTTAATTTCTGTAATGTATTAGTGTTCAATTCTGAATTTTAGATGTTCTACCAGTTTTTAAATACAAGGTGTATTTTGTCACTAGAACAGTAAAAAAAAAGTCAAATTGATTATTATCTTATCAAGAAATCTGATAAACATGAATGAACAAATCATGATGTTTGTGACAAATTCTGTGACGTCTCTTGCAGACAATTATCATCCGAACACAGAGCATTGAAGGAAACGTTAGACAAACAGTCAACGGAAAAGAAACGCCTTTCAATGGAAAATGAGGAACTCGTTTGGAAACTACAACAAAGTGAGTGTGGGTCCCCAGTTTGCTTGACTCCGCCTACCCCTACAAGGACGACACGAATGCCTTCTCCAACCAATTCATTTAGTCGCACAAATTTGTTACGTTTAAGCTCATCGGAGAGTCACGATAACGTGTTCATGTCGTATGAACAGAAGATGGAC